ATAAACCTCAAGTTACAATGGACAGAATATTGAATGATCTAGGAAGCAGCAAAAGAAGATGGAAGGAATGTTGCAGAGTCACTGTACCAAAAAGAACTGGCTGACATAGAACAATTTCATAAAACAACATATGATCGAGAAGCAATGGTAATGAAGTAGAATGCTCAAGTTTCTCTGAAAGAATTGGCAAAAAACAAAGGCCCCATGATGATGGAATACCAGTTGGCATAATTCAACAAGCAGATGCAACCCTTTTTGTTCTCACCAAGTTTTGCCAAGAAACTGAAGGACAAGTACCTAGCCAAATAACTGGAAGAGATAAATATTTATTCCCATTTCCAAAAAAAGGCAATCTAACAGAATGTAGAAATTATTAAACAATATCACAAGCAAGCGAAATCTTGCTGAAGATTATTAAAAAACAACTAGAACTGTTCATCAACAAAGAACTGTCATAAGTTCAAACTTAGTTTGGAAGAGGCTGTGACACAAGTGATACATATCATTGCCAGTGTCAGATGGATCTTGGCTTGAGGAAGAGAGTACTGTTTTATTGACTATGTAAAGGCATTTGACTAGATCACAACAAATGTGGCTAACATTGCGAAGAATAGAAATCCCAGAATACTTGATCGTGCTCTTGTGAAGCCTATACTTAGACCAGGAAACTGTTGTACAATTAGAGCTGGGAGACACTGCATAGTTCAGAATCAACAAAGGAGTGTGTTAGGAATGTATCCTTTCTGAGTACCTTTTCAATATATGTGTGGAACACATCATTTGGGAATCTGATTTTATAAAGAAGAATGTAGCATGGAAGAAGGAGTGGAAGAAGATTCATCAACAGCCTGGAATATGCAGATAACACAACCGGGTTCCCTGAATCTGAGGAGCACTTGAAACATTTGCTACAGAGGGCCAAGGACTACAGTCTTCAATATGAACTGGATCTCAATTTCACAAAAACAAAGATACTCACCACTAGGGCAATTGACAACATCATGACAGATTGAGAAGAAATTGAGGTTTTTAGCAAATTCATCTTGCTCAGATCCACAATCTTGGCATTAACATCCAGGAAACCAAAAGACTAGTTGCTTTAGGAAAGTCTGCTGTCAAGGACCTCTCAAGAGTACTAATGTCTGTGCCAGGATATTTGGAGGACAGCTGTCTGGTCAACGGATGGAAGAGGTCCCTATTTGTTCCCATTCCCACGAAAGGTGATCCAATTAAATGTAGAAATTACCTAATAATATTGTTTATATCACATGCAAGCAAAACACCGCTGAAGATCATTAAAAAATGGCTGGAAAAGTACATGGATAAGGAATTGCTAGAAGTTCAAGTAGTACTTAGAAGTGGCTGTGTGTGACACCAGCGATATCATTGCTGATGTCAGATGGATCCTGGCTGAAAGTAAGAAATACCAGAAAAATGTCTATTTGTGCTTTATTGACTACGCAAATGCATTTGTCTGTGGATCATATCAAGTCATGGCTGACGTTGAGAAGAATGGGAATCCCAGAACACTTGATTGCGCTCATACAGAACCTATACCTGAATCAGAAGGCTGTTGTGCAAACAGAGCAGAGGAACACTGCATGATTTGGGATTGGAAAGGGCGTGTGCCAGGATCGTATTCTCTCTCCATGCTTGTTCAATCTATGTGATGAGCAAATTATCGGAGAAGTTGGACTCTATGAAGAGAAATGTGGTATCAAGATTGAAGGGAGACTCATTAATAACCTGTATTATGCTAGTGACAAAATCTTGCTTGTTGAAAGTGAGGAGGATTTGAAGTATGCATTGCCAAAGATCAAGGAATACAGCCTTTGGTATGGATTGCATCTTAATATCAAAAAAACAAAGATTCTTACCACTGGATCAATAGGCAGTGTTATGATGGATGGAGAGGAGATTGAAACTGTTAATAGCTTCATCTTGTTTGGATCCACAATTAACACACTTGGTATGAGCACTCAGGAAATAGAGACCTTTCCAAACTATTGAGAAGGGATGTCAGTGTGAGGACTAAAGTACATCTGCTTTAGGCTGTAGTCTTTCTGATTACTGGCTATGCATCCGAGACCTGAACAATGAGTAAAGATGACAGAAAGAGAGTTGATGCCTTTGAGCTGTGAACAAATGTCTTGAAATATCTTGAAGATGGTCCAGTGGGAGTGCTCTGTGGAGGCAAAAATGATAAAGCTTCACCTCACATACTTTGGACATGTTGCTAGGAGGTGCTATTCCTTGGAGAGGGACATGATGTTGGGAAAGGTGGAGGGCTGGCGAAGGAGGGAAAGACCTTCAACTATGTGGATTGACACAATGACTGCTACAAAGGGCTCTTGTGTGTCAGGAAGTATGAGGATTACGCAGGAAAGAACAAGGTTTATATCTTTTGTTCACAGGGTCACTATGAGTTATCTTCACCTTGAAGACACCTAACAACAACAACTACAACCAAGAGTGATGATGTCATTCTAGAGACTAAGGCGTGCATGATCCAAGCCAAAGTCTTCTCAATTGCTTACCATGCAGGTGAGAGGACAATGAGTAAGGATGACAGAAGAAGAATTAATGTCTTTGAGTAGTGATGCTGGCGAAGAGAACTGACTATAACATGAAACACCGCCCCCCCAAAAAAAAGATAACAAACTGATCTGACCTGGAGAAGGTGAAACCATGTTGCGCTTTGGAGGCAAGAATTATGAAACTCCCTTTTGCATACTTTGGGCATGTCACCAGGAGGGACCAGTACTTGGAAAAGGACATAATGCTTGGAATGTTATAAGGTCAGCACAAGATAAGACAGGGTTCAGAGCTATTGTTTATAGGGTCACTATAAGTCATAGCTTGATGACTCATAACAACAACATTAAGTTACTTCTCGGTAGGATTAATATGATAGTGGTGCTTGTTTAATACAATGAAAGGAATCAATTTATCATGAATTAAGAAAAAAATTACGTTTATCTTGCAACAAATATTGATGGCAAGTTTATAAAAAAACAATGATTTGAAAATATACTCAGTGCAAGCACCTATACTTAAAAAGTTTGAGAAAACTAGGGAAAATACTATTAGAAATATTATATCATCCCACAAATAGGATTCTTTGTCTTAAGAACTATTTGAAAACATAAAAATTTAGATAAATGAATTAAGAAGTCCACTATTTTCATTGAAGGAATCTGTTTTTGTAGCACATCCAGTTGCTAACAGAAAGGCCAGGAGTTCCAATCCGCCAGTCTTTCATGAGAAAAAGATGGACGGTCTCCTTCCATAAAATTTATAGCCTTGAAAACCTGAGAGAAGGCCACAATGAGTAGAATTCAACTCAACAGGCAGAGTCTAGTTTCTGTCATATACACAGCATTGTTTTGCAAGAGTTGAGCAGAAAGTAGGTTGATGAGCAACACAGAGATAAGAGTAAAAGGAAATGCTAGGCCTGCTTAAATTTGGTCTCATCAACACATATTCCAATCTCATCTTATGAAACTTTTAAGAAAAATAATTAAATAGATAGGAAAATATCATGCTAGAGTGATTCTCTCTGCAATAATAAATATGTCTCAATTACTTATTTCCTAAAGACATTAGCTTTGCCACTCACAGGGCTTTCAGTCTCCTTGGGCTTGTGCTCTGTCTACCTAAGGAAAGGCAGTAGTGACTCGAGATAAGAGCTCATCTCTCATCAGCAATATACTTGTAGATGACCTAACTGTACTTCACAGGGGCCAACAAAGGGTCGCCAATGTAACCATTCATGGTTACTACCAAGTTGAACTAGATTTGATTCAGTGACTTAGACGTGAAAGGCTTCATATTCAATTACCAGGTCCACAGCTTTCCCAATTTCAATGTTAGAAAAGACTATATCAAATCAATATAACCACTTCTGATGATAAAAAGAAATACTAATAAATACTCCTTGTTTAAGTGCAATAACCAATGATTTATGCTATTTAAATGAGTTAGGATGCCATCCATCTTTAATTTTATGGGAAATTTGAACACAATCAAAATGACAATGAATCTATACTTAAAGTTTCTTTGAAGATATTAAAACCTTTTTACATTTATTATACCATTTCTCTAGCAACTATAGCTTGGTGTCTATGTAAATTGTGCCAGGATTTATCTTGTCAAAGGGAGTGCTTTGAAAAAATGTAACATGATGACACAGATGGACTTGATGGCAATACAGGTATTTTATCCATCATTATATCAGGAAGTCTTAATCAACTCAGATAGAATCTGAAAGATCATAAAAGAAGCAACATAAAGGTTGCAAATCATTAGCAGAAAGTGATCGTAACATCTGAAGCAATGAAATGTTTCTGATGCTAAAGTAACGACCATATAAACACAGAGGGAACCACTGGCAAAGTCAAAAGTCAATGAATCCAATCTGAACTGTAGTGACACTATCAACATGCAAAAGTCATTTCAAGAGTTCAAAGTTAAACCTTACATCTCAAACCCTAGAGTCAAGTCAAAGCAAAGAATTCATTTCCCTTCATCTTCATCTCAAAAATGAGAAACCACCCTCTCTACCTGACTAATAAAGAGAAGGCTATTTATGTAGTGATTTATATTTCAAAAAATAGTACTAGTTCTTTGTATTAAGGATGTAAAAGAAAGTTCAGCCTGTTTTATTTATTAATAAGTTAAAGTTGGAGAGTTCTGAAAGATTCTGAATCATTTACTTGGCTGTTTTATTTTGTCACCTTTCTTCCCTTTTTAATATGTTCTCATTGATCTTACCTTTTTCATTTTTTACAGCAGCTGTCAGACAGAACCTTGGGCTGGTCACCAGGATGCCAGAACCCTTGTCAGAAGCATTTTCTTTTGAATCCAACCCCTTGGGTGTTAAAACCCTCTCAGTCACTTTATTGTCCTTCATCATTACAATTGTCATCATTCTGATTGACGTCTTGGAAAATTGAAGAACAATGATTTTACTAATACATACTATCTCCAATTATTTGCAGGTTGTTCCCTCCTGACAACCATTGGGGTGTTTGTTAATGCACTGAAAACGTGCTGCCTGCAATATTACCTTCTTGGCAGAGATGTGACAAGCTGGTTAGACCATGCCAAGACAAAAAATGGTGGCTCCTACTGTGAGTTCCATGTGAAAAATGCAAAATTTCTCCTCACGCTTCTCCCTCTCTTCACTTTTCAGCTCCTATACAGAACATGCATCATGCAGGTAAGGAAATAGTGTGCAATGAATGTGTCAGGATGCTAACTACAGGTCAGCACTTGGAATTCATTAGCCACTCTGTGATCAGTCTTATCATCAGTCCCCCTTCATCCAGCCTTAGAATTTATGGAGAGCTGCTCTGAGTCAGAATCAACTGTAAGGTAATAAGAACAGCAATAAAGGTGTTGCATGTTGGCATTCTTGTTGTTGTTGTTAGGCGCCATTGAGTTGAGTACAACTCATATTGACCCTATGAACTAAACATCAGAACCCTATTCTATCCCGTATCATCCTCATACTTCCTGACACACAAGAAACCATTGCAGCAGTTACCATTTCATTCCACCTGGCTAAAGGTTTTCTTCTCCTTAGCCAACCCTCCACCCTTCCCAGCATAACATAAAAAGAATTGACATCTTTGATCTGTGGTGTTGGAGAAGAACACTGAACCCCTTGGACGGCCAAAAGAACAAAAAGATACATCTTGAAGAGAGTTCAGCCAGAGTGCTCTTTGGAGACAAGAATGATGAAGCTTAGCCTCTCATACTTTGGGCATGTTGCTAGGAGAGACTATTCCTTAGAGAGTGATAAGGTGCATGTTGGCATTACAAGTGAACAATTATCACCACCCCAACAAGTTGTTAAATGTTTCCTAGGCAGTCATTCCACAAATGCTTGTAACCTCTTCTATTGCTGTTGTTGTGTGCCCTAGAGTCTGATCTAACTCATAGGTGACCCTTTATTGTGGCTGTATACTCAGAATCCACCCATAGCGAACACTCCAGGGGGTTTTCAGAGGCAGTAATCACAAGGGAGGAGATGACCCATCCTCCTGGAGAGGAGCTGATGGATTGGAACTGTGGGCCTTCAGGATTGCAGCTCAGTTTACCACTAGGCCACCAGAGCTCCTCATTGTTGTTAGGTGCCTTCAGGTTTCAATGTATAGTGACCTCAAGAGACAAAGCGAAAATACTCGATAGGCCTTTCAAGTCTGAATTTTTTTTTTAATGGGAAGGGATTGTCAACCATTTTTTCCATGAAGTTGGGCTCACATTTCAAGAACTAAGTGGGGTTAGGCAGAGGGGTACTTGAGAAATATCTGGCTATGTGCTGTTGACCTCCTGGAGAGCTAAAATTACTTATCAGTAGGCGCGCAAGACAGACAATACTTCAGAGAATGTCGTCATATGGTTCAAGAGCAGCATACAAAAACACCAAATCTATAGACAATTACAAAACCTTCCTTTAGCCAAAGGTTTTGCCCTCCTCCCTCATTAAACCTTTAAAATGTGGTGCTAACAAGTAGCTCAATTGACTGATTTGAGTACCACCCCCACTGTACTCTGTAAGTACTAATGAGCAACTGATTCTCTTCCCACCCACTCTATTAGTTCCTTCGTGAATTAGTAACCATGCTGTATGCTGTACAGAAAGCAGGAAAGAAACACTAACTCGCTGAAAATACCTCTTCTGAGAATATGATTTTAAAAAGAATAGAGTGGTTATGATCAAAACTAATTTATGGAGAAAAATAAAGGATTATAAAAGTGTTTGAACAAGTTTGAGACTTTGCAATGAGAACTCTTAATTTGCAATCCAGAAGTCAATGAATGGGTGTATTCATAAACCATCAGACAATAGAGTTAAAAAATAGAGCTTCATTTATTGGAGAGGAAATCAAAGCTTAGGAAAATGTATAGTTTGGAGGATAAGTCTCCTCATCTCTGAGTCTCAGCATAGTTCTAATTCCCTGCCCCTTATATGGTCTGTAAAGTGACAAAGAAAAAGAAGCTCTGATGGTTTACTTGTATACACAAAGGGCTACCAACTCAAGGGTCCAAGGTTCAAATTCACTTGTTGTTTTATGGGAGAAAGATGTGAAACTTCTGCTGTAGTGATTTTGGGGGCTCAAGAGGTTGCAGTCCATAGAGCATTACACTGTTAACCCAAAGGTGGGGCTCTTTGGTTATTTGAATTCACTAGTGGTTCTACAGAGAAACTTGGTCATTCATCTTCAATGAAAGTTAGAACCTTTAAAATCCTACTAGAGGATCAGCTATTATCCATTCCAACTATATTGCAATGGATTTGAGTTTTGAAAATCTAAGAGAGTTTCTATTTTTGTGTGGTCAGAAACAAAACATCAGAAGAATATTTTTAGTACATAAATATGATGTGAAATTTAAAGCCTGTTGTGCATAAATAAAGTTTTACAGAAATAATAGCATAGTTTATTTGTTTTATCTGTGGCTGAATACATGTGACAACAGAACTGAGTAATTAACAACAGAGATTACAGTTTGAAATAGTTATTGTACAGTCATTTAAAGTTTGCCTATTGCTGAACTTTTGAACAGTTCAAGAAAACTGATCAAGTCTGATTTGGAAGATTCCCTTCTCTCCTGGCTCTACATAAAACACATAGCATAAAAACACAGAATGCAGTAGACAATCACACAGATCACTAATATCATGATCACATCTTGTTGTTGCTTTCGATGCCATCAAGTAGGGTATGACTCATGACGACCATATGAACAACCAATGTGAACACTTTCCTATCCTGTGCCATCCTCACAATCTCTGACACACTCAAGTCTATTGCTGCAGTCAGCATGTCAACCCACCTTGTTGAGGGTCTTCCTCTCTTTTGCCAAATATCCACCTTCACAAGCATGATATCTTTTTCCAAGGAATAACCTCTCCTAGGAATATGCCAAAAGTATGTGAGATGAAGTTTGATCATCTTTGCCTTCAAGGAGCACTTTGGCTGCATCTTCTCCAAGAAATATCTATTTGTGCTTTTGTCAGTTCATAGGATCTTCAGCATTCTTCTCCAACATCACATTTCAAACGTATCAATTCTTCTCTGTCATCCTTAGTAATTGTTCAGCTCTCAGATTCATAGCAAGTGACTGAAAAGACCATGGCTTGAATCAGGGTCACCTTTGTCCTCAAACTAACATAATTATTTCTTAATAATTTGGAGAGGCCCCAGACACAGATTTTCCCAGTCCATATGTCTCCTGATTTCCTGACTGCTGGTACCAACTGTGTTGATTGTAGATCCAAGTAAGATAAAGTTGCTGACCATCTCAATTCTTTCTTCATCCATCATGGTGTTGTCTATTGGTCCAGTGGCAAGGATATTTGTTTTCTTGACATTAAGATGCAATTCATATTGAATGCTGCAGTGGTTAACTTTTTTTGCAAGTGCTTCAAGTCCTCCTCACTTTCAGCAAGCAAGATTGTGTCATCCACATAACAAAGATTACTGAAGAATTTTCCTCCAATCCTAATGCTACATTTTTTTCTTCATAGAGCCCAGATTCTTGAATAATTTGCTCAGCATAGAGATTAAATAAGTATGGAGAAAGGCTACAACCCTGACACACACTTTCATAATTTTAAACCATGCAGTGTTCTGTTTGGTTCACACACAGCCTCTTCATTTAGGTGTAGGTTTCACATGAGCACATGATGTGTTCAGGAACTCCCGTTCTTCTCAATGTTAGCCATAATTTGTTTATGAGCAACACAGTCACACAAGACTAAACTCATTTTTTAAACTACTGATTTCTACTCTTCGTAACTCCATGGGAGAAATATAGGCAATCCCCTCCCTTGTTATTTATAGCCTCTGAAATTCCACTGAAAGGTATGTGTCATGTTGGTTCCAACTCCACAGCGATGACTTTTGAATCTTCATAAAGCAATGACAGCTGATATATTTCCTTTGATTGAATTTGAGTTTTATCTATAAACTATTGCTTGTATTTTTTAATTTTGACATAAATTAGGGTAAATTTTTATAATTAATGTTTCAAGCATTTCACCAAGGGGAAAAATACTTTTTTAATACCTATTATATTTCTGCAGGAGGAAGATGAGGCAATCTGTTTTCTTAAAAGTATAGCCTTCCATGTTATGGAGCAGTGCCAATTTGGCTTCTAGGGTTCACTCTGAGTTGTTGGAATCAATTCCACAGCAGTAGCGGGATTTGTAGCTCTAGAAGATGACTTGACAACATCTAGTTTAATTATCATAATAAGCGTGCAAAGTCTGATTATTAACTGTAGTTCTCACAGATAATAAGCAACTTGTCCATGGTCAAGTTGTCAGTATATGGCAAACAGCCATTAAACTCAGAGCTGTTCTCAATGTCCATGATTTACTGTTACTTGCAATGCTTTCTCAGGGCTGGATTAAAATTTCCTAATAAAGATTATATCTTCTCCAAAATAATGTATGTGCAAAAATGTTATGCTGAAAATTCCAAAGAAAATAATTAGACTGTACCCCTTTGAGAAATCAGAAGAAACTTCCATTGGAGTAGGCTGAGATTAGATTTTTGTCCCCAGATGAAGTAATAATAAGCACTACAAAGGCAATCAAAGTACCAAGAATAAAATATCGTAGGATTCTATATTTTAAATTTAGTAGCCATTATTGACCTTCAGCTCTAAGACATACATTTAAAATATGTTGATATTAAGGTTGATGATGTTGCCATTTGTCATTGCTGGCTGCTCAAAGGTGAGAATGAATCTCTATTGACAGCAATTATTTCTGAATACTCAGAAGCCTGTGTGAAATAAAATTATTTAAAATTTTAAGAGGAGATGACTCCAGAACTTGAGGCAGAAGCAGAAATGATTTCAAGCTTTCAAGACACTGGAGCCTTTTCTTAGATTAGGCAATATATTAATATTGCTTCGCTAAAGATTAATAGTACATTTGCCACATTATTAAGTTAACAGGTTTCTGTGTCTGTGATTCATACTGATAATAACTTTATCCCTATTAACAATAATTCTCATTTAAAATCAGTAACAGAAACTTCCAAGTTGTGCTGGGAGCCTTTCAGTCTTAAAGTAGTTCTGCCAGCCTTAAAAAAAAAAAGGTATTCATTTCCTTTGATTGCAGGATATGCAATTTTAGTAACTTAGTCATTTTATGGAATAAGCATAAAACTAAAAATAATATTCTCCTCACTCTTGCCACCT